TTCGTCTAGCCAATCCTCATTTATGAAAAACACAAGTCATTCAACAATGTGCACAGAATATATTACAAGGTGAATTAAAATATAAAAAACGATTGTTAACACAAATCTATCGTCGTTCATGAAGACTATTAAATATGTTAAAAGATAGGGTACCACACATTATATTCAATCATTTAATATTCATACGTGGTGAAATTATTTCAAAAGAAATGAAAAAGTTAAAAAAACGGCAGGTGTGGGTGTGGGTATGGGTCTGGACGTGGGTGTGGGTGGGTGTAGGTGTGGGTGTGGGTTTGTATCTTTTCTTTAGCTGCATTCACACACACCCACACCCCACACCCGCTCACACCCACACCCTGAAAAAAGCCTATCCTCACAATAAGCGATTTTTAACTGCTGAAATATAGATTTTAAACGGTCTAGGTTCAGCTTTATATTGTTTAGACAGTATGGAAAGTATTCATACAACTTTTGAATTCCCTGCAAAGAATGTCGAACTAAGCTACATCAGCCTAAACTTCTAGTAATAGTACTTGAAATATTATTGGTGAGACAGGTTGATGAATCAATATCGACTGCTGTACCATGTTTTTTCTTATAGCTGTCACATATCTTGCTTCATGTTTAACGTTTCATTCAATGTGCACAACTGACAGCAAGAAATCTTTACTTATTTACATCGGCAAAAAAAATAATGGACATGCTTAAAAAAATTCCAGTGTCGGTATTAAAAACACAATTGAGAGTGAAAAAAAATCTTCCATTGGCTTTTATTTGTAGAAGGAGATTGCACACGAAAAGTAAAAATCGAGCTCACTTTCAACATTTTGCAAGTGACAGCAAGATGTAACATACCGAGTGAAAGAGAACAATCGTGTTGTTTATGTTCTTGTTTATTTAACAGTGATAGTTTTAAAAAAATTCATCATAAACGCTTAAAAAAATCTAACAGAATGAGCAGTGATGTTTTGAATTGTCGCATAGATCTTCAAAAGTGATCTGGAAATTTTCTCTGTTCATAAAAATTATTACAGATTGTATTTTGATCATTGTCATGCTAGCACTCAACTTGTTGATAGTTCGCATTCAAGATCTGCAATAATTTAATAAGATTCAGGACCAGTACCTTTTTTCGACTCTTAAAATGGTCGGGTGTGGGCGTGTGTGAGTGATAATAAAGAAAAGATATAAATCCACACCCACAGCCATGCTCTATATGAAGATGAAGAATATGTTCTATGACATGTATGAAGTGGTATGCATGAATTGTTGTGCTGTTTTAAATATGACTCGTTCTATTGATACTGTCGTTGATATGGCTTGTACGTTTTTTTTCGGTACTGTGGACACTACTAGGATGTTGTTGATATGACCTATAATTCACATAGTGTAATGAGTCGCTCGACGTTAATGAAGAATTTGACTAATAAATGATCATTAGTAGTGTTTTCTTGTAGTTCATTTTCAAAATTTTTTCACCAATCGTTCAAATCTTAGAAAGTCTTGTAAAAACATCATCACTATTACTAAACTTTCGAATAACAATTAGCCAATTTTCTTTCTCAACGAAGATCATGATATTATCGAATAGGAGATTAGTGTAGTTACTGTTGTTGAGTATATAATTATTGACTAAACGAAAAACAATCTTAACCTAAAGCTAATTGAAAATATGCAATTGATGTGAATTACAATGTTTTCTAATCAATACTAGCAGTTCGTTGCGAATCTACCTATAACTTGGCATCATCAGCCATTTAGATCACGAGCAACTGATAATCTATGTGCATCATCTATTGAATATTGTCACATTTTCTATTGAATTCATTAAGTCAGTCCACCACATCTTGAAAACGCAATCCAGAAAAAGGTATTGATTCAAAGAATTCTGTGATTTGTTTTGATCGTAATTTTTTAATGGCTTGGTCAGTAATTGATGTGCTAAATAAGTTGGTTAGAAATTGTAGACTATTCAAGCGTCGATGTGATAAACTGAATTACTAAGCATTGAGTAGTCGGACTATTCAATTTATCAAATAGTTGAGTACTCTTGTCTATAGCGATCACTTGCCGTCATAAATGATCAATGGCCTGTTGTTTAAGTTCAAAGATTCGTCTATGACCATCAATTATTTTTGCTCGTTAGATCTAGACAATTGATTTATGGTGGCAGTTATTGTTGGGGGGCAGTGTCAGTATCAGTTCAGATAGGGTAAGAAGAAATTATGTTGTCCTCGTTATTCAATTCAGTATAGTGGAACGAAAGTGCCATGAACACCTATCTTGATCAGACAACGAAAATGAAGGTTCTGAATCCGTTGCACTTCGAATGCAATGCTTATGTTATGCCATAAGAGTGTTAATGTATGATGGATAATGCAACGAAAATAAGAAAAAAATAAAATTGTCGAATTTTCATCTGTGATTAAAAGTTAAAGAGTGAGTCGAATTATTGTATCAATGCTAACAGGCAATCGATCAAATGGAACAATATTAAATCTGTGTAGTTTTTAATTTTTATATGACCACTATACCAAAGATCAATTCAGAAGAAATTTCAAGAACACTTCGAAGGAAACATGATGAGATGGAAAACATCTATATTATAGCAAGAGAAGAGAAGAAAAGAGAGGCATATGCAGATCATATGTGTTATCTATGTACGATAGCATAACAAAAGAGGAAAATATTGTTAGTGCATTTCATTTGGAACTAAAATGTGAAACTTATGTATGATCTTTAGCTTAATTCTATTAAAATACATAATATATGAACTGTAAAATATATCACACACTTCATTGTTTTCCAAAACGATCGGTCCGTAGAAAAACAAATGGCAGCTGGTTGTAATGAGGAAGGAGCAGCAAAATCTTGCCTTTACGCTTACACTCAATCCTATCTTCGAAAATGAACTCGAATTTCAAAAACATTTACGAAAAGTAGAATTAGGTATAAAAGCAAAACTATTTTCCTGGAGCTCCTGTGTTACGGTCTGTGGAATAGCGGGGAAGGAGCCAAATTTCTACCGTATACACTTAAAGACTCCGTGCAGATTACATTTCATAAAAACCCTATGAACGTTAATACTTATCTTTATTCCTTGATGAATAAGAAAGGTTTTATTACGACATCAGTCTTCAATAGGATATATACAAAAATAATGCAATTGTACAACTTCGACGTGTACTATTGCGAATACGTAGAGCTTCATCTGTTTAGATAACGTTTCTTGAAAACAGTTTCACTTTTTCGCATATTTTTTGAGCTAAATTGTATTTTTTGAATGAGTGCTCTCTTAATGGATATATCCATTTAGATTTATTTTTTAGGGTATTTTAAGTAGCGTTGTACTGATATGTATGAAAAAACATTATATGTGAAAATAGAACGATCAATTTCTCTTTCTTCACGTATCTTGCTACTGACTAACTTCTCAATAAAACGACTCTTTCCTAACAAAAGATAAACGTATTCACAAGCATATGGCTATGATCTACTTGCCAACAAAGGATCAATTCATAACTCGATATGTATCTAAATATGTGTACGTTCTTCCGTGTAACCTCGAGTATTGAAAATAAAAAGATTATTTTAAAAGCTCAGCTATAAGTAATAATTAAAGATCTTTGATGCAATCAGTAAAATTGTCTATTTACATTGGTTCCACGAAAATTGATAGGAATCGCTGCGCCGAAACCTTGAGAAATCAAGCATTTGAAAAGTTTATCGATATCCGCTTCCCTTTCCCTCGCGATAATCATATCAACGATTTTGAAAGTAGAATAAGACACGGATGATTATGAAGAGAATATCAAATCTCCTGTGTTTGAATAGAATTGCATAAAGCAGATGTATCTCAACTGGACAGAAATTGAATACTTCTTTTATCCTTTAATTATTGAGCACGACGGTACTGTAACAGTCACTTAATATGATCAATAGATCCATATTGAACGATAGAATCGATTTAAAATACTTACGAATGAAAGCTAAAAGTTAAATAACTAAAAGCAGTAATAAAGCCTCTTTGACTGTGAACTTTGACTAATGTAATTCAAATTTCGAACTCGAATCGAACCAACTCGAGTTGAAATCGAATTTTGACCAATGGTAAGTGTTGACATGCTGTGTTAAATACTTAAACTAGTGTTCTGTTTAAGAACAAGTCTATGATATCCTCTCTTCGAGGACATACACCATTTCCGAAGGGAGATTTGTCGGTTTCACAAGAAAAACTTTAAAGTAATATATAGAATCCATCATAGAAATTAAAAAATATTAAAAATTGTTAATTATTCACGAATTTTTTTCTTACCTGTATGTTGATATAAGTGATTTTTTTGGAATCGGCTTGTTATACAATACAAGTCTTCATCAAAGAGTGAAATGTCATGGTGTTTGGTTTTCACCTCCAGTGAGAAACATCCAATTTGCTTAGTCTTTAAATATTGAAAAATAACATGTAGATGTGAAGTCGACTCTTTCAACTTGTTTAATAAGTGCTAAAAACTGCTTATGTTAAAGCTTGAAATCATTAAAAAACATAAAGTCGTTTACCAAATGTAGTCTTTTTGTTGAAATCCAGCTATTAAAATCATAATTCATATTATAATAATGATTATTTGAAGTCAATAGGGTGTGGGTGGATACAATAGAAAGATCCACACCCGCATGTCCTATTGAGGGTGAAGTGACGATCGTTATCGATTATTCTTCGTCCACTAATTCAAGAATTCGGCTAGTGTCCGTCTCCAGAATGATTCATAGAAGAAAATGATATTATATCGAAATCTGGTAAATATGCTTCATCACAATAACGGTTATTTTTTCAAAGAACGAAACAAAAATAAAATTTAAAGATTTTTCGAATGTTAAAGAGTTTTTTTAATTGGAAATAATAGTTAGATACCTGGAAAAAAAATTACTGACATTTGATAATCTGAATATTCGACGGTTATTCTATTTTCTCCCATAAATAGTCAGTACGTTGCTGTCTTGATTTAATTAATATTCGTTTGAGAAAGATTGAAATCAAATAGTGGATCTCGAGAACGATGATGATCGAATGGGATCGATTGAATATGACCATGATCGATATGTAATAAATGATCAACAAATAGTCTCTTTCGGACGCGATCATTGTGCAATGTTAGAAAAAGAATCCCTTTCGATTTAAACCATCGAACAATATTCGGCATAATACGAAATGTTGTCTCACTAGGTAAACCTTGATCAGGTTCATCAAGAATTAATATTCGACTTTGACGCTGTTGTGCTCGATTTAGTGCTCTTGCCAACATCAAACGTGTCTTTTGACCACCACTTAGTTGATTTTCAACAGGACGATCGAGTTGACCATCGAAATTCTCTTGCACAAATGAATCGATTTCAACCAAACGTAGAAAATACCAAATTCGTTCTTCGTCTTCTTGTGAAATTGCTTGTTGATAGTCATTTTCGCAATCTGTGATCATTGTATAAATAGAAGAACTAAAATCCATTTGTGTGTCCTGAAGTACAAATGTTCGCAATGATTCAATATTATGAAATTCATTTGGTAATTCAGTTATACCATCAATCGTGATTCGAGCATGATATCTTTGACTGGAGATGCAACCACTTAATATATCATAAAATGTTGATTTTCCTACAAAATCACAAAGATTTATCCAAAGAAAAAGTTAATTCGAATAAATAGATGGTTGCAATTTCGATTTTTTAAAATCCTTTATAGAAAACCTCGCTTTTTTCCGGAGACATTCATCTTTGCTAATCTCAAATTTAGCATTCAGCTTGAAATGGGGATATCTCATAGTCTGGTTAAGGAAACGGATTGTAATGTATCAGGTGTTTGTCCCGAAAGTTTGTACAATTCATATATCATTAAACCACAGAATAACAACAACTGCATTATGTCAAAAATCACGCAAATTCTGTACACTTTTAGAAAAAAAAAACATCCGAATCAAGATCACTGAAATGACAGTCAATAGTGGTTGTCATGGTATCACCCGAGCCAATACTGTTCTCAGCAACAAATTCGCTCAAATCTAAAAACACATGTTAGTTAGTCGGTGCAATATCTAGAGAACAGATGGATGGTTTATTTTGACGAAGCCTCCCTATCATAATGTTAGACTTGTGCACAAAGTGCTGTCATAGAGAAACAACATCTCACCGTTAAACAACATCATATTTCTTCAGGTCGATAAAATTTAGTTGCTCTAGGAATCATACATAACAAGGATCATTCATCGGCTCTTCATGTTTCAAGTAGTCAGTGAGTAGAACCTCATCTGCGTCTTAGAAAATGGTCATCATGACCTTTCCGACTGACGATTCATAAATTATCCCACGTCACGATGCGACCAAGAAAGTTGACCGAGTTCATTTCACTTCACCGCAGCAGAATTTCTCTTGATTTTGTGAACTGTGATTTTTAGAATGTTCAATTCCTCAGTGATGTTGTAGATAGAATATTGTTGATCACACGCCCAAATACGTTACATGGCTTCAGCGTTTTCATTGGTAGTTGTGATTGATACATAGTCACTTTCAAGCCACTTGAATTCAATTACCCACTGTCGAAAAATATAGTACAATGGAGCAAAGTATTTCGTGCTTAATGTTCGACAAATCTGCAACATGATCAGATATAGTTGTAAAAACTGTTATAAACCGATAAAGAAAATGAGACAATCAAATCAAAAGGGAAGTATCATTGTACAATTGCACGTTATACACAACGGTAGAAGCTCAATGCTTCACACGCACACAAACCGAGGTTAGTCGCACAAACTTTGGGAACAACCTGATATATAAAGATGAACACATTCTAAATTATAGAGTTTCGAAGTATTGAGATATTTGCAAGTATAAAGCATTTTTCCAAAATTTTAGCATATTCAGTATTTTGTTCGACGATTTTTCCACTAAGGAAAAATATATTTGTCTAGTACTCTTAGAAATGCACATTGTGACTACTCTTAGATAATGGACTTGTCAATAAGACGATAAAGAACAATTCACTTTCCGTACCTGCTCCACTATTTCCAGTGACTAATATAACTTCACCGTTTTGAAATATCAATGGTTGAGATAACTTCAATTCGAATCGAGTTCGTTGTTTCGTATGGTTTTCATAGGCAAAATGAAGTGTATGGATGGTAAGAGATCGTCTCATTGCAAACTGTGGGGCTTCAAGACGGGGTTCGCATTCATTGAGCATTGGCACAATCAGATCATATTCTTTTATCAGACGAGTATATCGAATCATAGATTGATTCGTAGTATCAAGTTGGTTGACGAGCGACGAAAGATAATGACATACAGGTATCACCATCAATGGAGTATTAGTGGTATGAATAAGAACAACACTAATCACGATCAAAGTACATGTTTTTCCCAGCAGCTCCTCGACAAATGAAAGTCGATTCGCAGCATAATCGACAGTATACCAGAGACGCTCCAGAGCAACCTTGAAACTAGCAGTGTTAGTAATCATTGCAGTTTGTTCACAATGCAGAACATAATCCAATATTCGACCAGCTACAAGTGAATGTCTTTGATGAAGTTGTTCTGATGTTTTATTTGATTCGGTACGTAATTTCAGAAGTTCTCCACCATGTTGTCGTACATAATCCAAGAAAAATACTATGTAAACTAAAATGAAACTTAGTGTTGTGTGCCATGGACAAAGCATGGTGACAGTGAGAATAGCCATGATTAGATTCCAGATTCCACGTGTTTCTTCGATAATATTTTCAATTAAAAGTTTAATCGAATTACATGCTTGATCGACTTTACGTTGCATTTGCTCATGATCAGCAAGTTTGAGACGATGCCATTCTGTATTCAATAGTCGTGTATAAATCAAACCATGAAATCGAGGAATGAATTCCAACATAAATTCTTTTCGAATCAATCTTGTTCTTAATTTTACGAAAGATTCAACACACTTCGTAACGAATAGCATTGCAAGAACTCGAATACTACCTGATGATAGAAATCCAACGGTTAGATAAGTTCTAGCTGAATGCATTCCCATTCGAATTAATAACCAAAATAAAAGATGGAAAAATGAATATCTATCACTATCGATCAATGATATAAGTACTGACCACAGACGCCAATCTCCATCTTTTCTTTTGTAAAAAACACATCTCGTTTGTAGAATCAGAAGTCACATAAAAGTAGAAACTCGAATATGAAATGACAATTTGCTTTTATTCACAACCAATATGTATTAGTAAAATTGAAAAATTTCATCCCAATTTCATAAGATCGATGATGATGATAATGTAATTTTACAAGACTCGAGTATATTTACCATGTGACTCAAGTATTGTCTTAATCGTCCCTTTTGTCTTATGAAACTGTGTCAATAAATGAAATCACGTTTGATTTCTTTTTCTTGTTCTTTCCATTACAATATAATTTCGACAGGGAGTGCGAACGATGGGTATGGATGCGACAATTGAATAGAATGTATTTCAGTAGAATTATGCGCGATTTCCATTTATTACTAGCTGTCGGAAATATGTTCTAGACACAGTCTCGCCCCGTCTGGCCCAAAAACATTGTATCTAAGGCTTCACTTCTGTTCATCAGTTCACTTTCAAAGTTCCTCAGAAGGACTGTTATAAATAGGACGCAAATCAGCTGATAGAAACAATAATATAGAAGTTAAGAAGTGTAAGGATTGACGATGCATTACTCGAGCACATGCTTGATAGTATGGCTTGTGTGCTTGTTGAAGATTGAAAAATTTGCAGCTTTGGTAACATAAATGAGACTTGTCATCGCTTGAATATTATTAATACTTCAGTTGATAGCATCAAATACACAATTAGCGATCGTTCATTACAATACAAAGTACAGCTTAAATGAGATACCAAATGTGGCAATGTCAAATGTTGAAATAATAGACAGTATATCTCATAATGGATCGAAAGCGCTGAATATAAACTTCAAAGCTCAATATGATGATTTGATTACATATCTATATTACATATTCTTCTAGAAACAGCTAAATATCGAACCATTAATAGAATAATATATATCAAACTATTAAAATCCTTTTATGGCTCTCAGTGCTTTCTGAATAGACTTTCTTTAAAATTTGGAAAAAAATCATATTCCAGTATCCACTGCAAAAAGAATTTATACTAATACGATATATTGAGCTTCTCATTCTATGTTATTATATACATCTTTATACTATCTGAATGCAGCTAGTGTCGAATCGTTTTTTCCACTTGCCTTCACGAATTAGATAGTCAGATGATTAGTTCGAAACGATATATTTTATGAAAGCTTCCTGACGTAACACTTAATGAAATTGAAGATCGGCGTGATTATTATACAATACGTTATTCTCATTATATCTTTGCTATTTCAATTAATGTTGTCATCGCTCTGAATATTGTTGAACATAAGGTTGCTGTTGTTATGGTAAAGTTTTGGCGTACAGACAAAGCCTATACACACAAATGTAGATGAATTAAATGATCGGTGATTCTAATAGAATCTGTTGCTCTTCTTGTTTCTTAAACTATTGTACTAATCAATGGAGTTATGATTCTAAACATATCTGATAATGAAGATCTCTAACACATATCGAAGCGTGTCGTATGATTGATCTGAAACATTTCTCATCTTTAAAGTCACTCGATGCTAATGTCGAGTATGTGACTCTTTTTTGATAAAAAGTATGAGCAAAGAATGATCTTATCGGAAGTTATCGAATCCGAAAAACTCTCAAATGATAAGACCAAAGCAGATTTTAATGAATATCGGAAAGTACATCAATTGTAAAGTTAGCGGTATAGTTCATATACTGTACATTGCCAGTCCGATAAAAAGACAGAGGTGATCAGTATGTAAAATCGCGTCCTTTGGCACCATCCGGAGTACTTTGCCACTTGTTACCTTGCGGGGTGTGGGTGTGTTGTTCCAAATGCATCCACATTCACACCCACGCACACCCACACCCGTAACGGACTTCCAGAATCTGTTCTTATTTTTCTGTGATATACGAATAGTAGTGTTTTTTTTAATTTAAATACATGAAAACTTCATTGGAAAGTTGACAATGAATCGTTATATTTTGACTTTTATTTCCAATATAAGAGACAATCGAATAACACCTTAAATAGTATTTTGTAGGTTAGATTCTGAGCTATCGAATGAAATATAGCACTTGTAGATTTGATCAAATTTTGGTAAAGATATAGGATGGACAAGAATATTCAGAAAAATTGGTCAATTTTGATAGGTTCGATGAGGATGGTCCACTTAAACTTTCAAACTAAAATCCAAAAATCAAAATATAAGATAAGCATCTAGACGGCTTGGTCAATAGCTTGACGCAGTGTTTCTTAAATAATAAACAAGAATTCATTTCTTCATAGATTTATAAATAACTTACAAGAAGAAAAAGCATCATGGAGACATTCTCATTAACATGCAGCACCACATGATGTATATGTGCTATTCTAAAAAATTTTCGGAGTGTGTCAAAGTTAAAAAATTTGATTCAAAATGACTCTATCTTCAAATGAAATTTAGAATAAATTTCATATAAAAATAAAATTTCGTCGAAAATGAAATGTATCGATATGAATCAATACGGATCTCTTCTGATTTCCGGAAATGAATAAAATCATGCATAATTTATCTGTCATAATAAAGTAGAAGTGATGCATTAGAAAGAAGAAGAATCTGTGAAATCTAACAGAAAATGATTATTGTCAAAATCTTGATTAAAATTGAATAAATGAACTCATGAAGATAAATATAAGTTTGGTATTTGCATCATTTTTATGCCTCATATATTATTATTTATTCGAAAGGCAAGGCCAGCAATAGATGTTACAGAAAAAAGAAGAGATGAAAAATTACCAGAATGTTGTTCTTATTATCATACTATCATAGATTTTGACGTATAAAGGATCTGTATATGTGCTAGAACAAAGCTGCATCTTGATTGCTCTGCATATTGTCAACTAATGTTCATCTTCCGTATCCTTCGCTTTTTTTAAACTGGTAACAAACTAAAGTTCACCTAGAGAAAGAATATTTGATGAATTCTATGATTCGTAAAATTATAAGGATTTTGTATTCCTGCACTTTTATTTCTCATTGAATAATTATCCGTCGTTTTACCATTTAACATTTTATCATTCCCAAAGAATAAAACGAGAAAAAGAAAGTTTCTTGATAATCATAAAAGACAGTCGATAATCATGTCTTCTAATTAATAGAATACGTGTACTTTTCATGTAATTTAACGGTTAGATTTAAACCATTTTGTCTGTTATCCATCATAAAATTATTCCAAAATTCGAACTATTTAAAATTGTATTTCGCATTTATTTCTTTGAAATGTATTCAATATGAAGAAAACATATTTTTATGATCAACCTCCGTCGATATCTCGATTGTTTTTTATTGTCATATGGCATTTTTCTCACATAGAACATCGTTTTTCTTGTTAATAGTTATTTTCATTGTGTTTTATATATAAAGTGAGGAAAAAAAAAGGTGATGTTGCCATTAATCATATGCGCTCGATTCTTATTTTGTAAATCATATTGAAAAGATCAAGAGAAATTTTTTTTTCTTATTTCAATACATATGTAAATATAATACAGTTGTATCTCGTTTCGGATAAACATTCTTCATTTATCATTTCATTGAAAAGAAGAATAAAAAAAGAACATACATGTATGTATATGTGTTCTTGATAATTTTTTGACTCATATTTTGTACGTAAAGAAAATATTTTTTATTTAAAATTCAAGTATGATTCAAAATACTACTGCAAAAGATGAAACAGCAGAAAATAATTATGATGATACTGGTGCTATGATATATATTATAATTGTTCTTCTTTGGTATTCAGTTGGCATTATATTTATGTTAGGAATGCAAATGAAAGCACGCTCGGAAATAATTGAAGAATCAGCAAGACGTCGAACAAAATTACTTATTCGAAATTTACGAGATCATACAAATACTAAGGAAATACTAGGTAAATTTATTAGATTTATATTTACCTCTTTTTTTAAATTTTTAGAATATATAATAACATTTCACATAGCAGTTGTTAGAAAGACTAAATAGTTGTGATATGACAGAGTTCTACAAAGTTATATAGAACTCTATGTTAGAAAATTCCACACTTTCTTATAGACTGTTAAATCAGTGAATATGCTTATTTTTTTAATATTAAATACTAATACAGTACTTTTAACTGAATATATTTCCACTTCAGTTCGCTCGAATGATGAGCTGCTTTTGTAGTAAGTGCTAGAAGCTTATTTAAATTTTTTTTTATCATACCGATAGCATTAACAAAAATTAGTCTCAATGTATATCTTTGGTTTCATTATAGAAATTTCAACAATTGTCCAATAAGAAAAATGCATACCATGAGTCAAAAAATATGAGTTGTTTCCAGCTGAAGCAGTGAGAAAAATGTTAGGAACTTTTCAGCAGAAATTCGGTGGCCAGCTCTGTTCGATCACGATCAGAACTAGAAAAACCGGGCCATCATGAATGCCGTGGTATCAGAAAAACTAATTTTCGACTTGAAACTTTGCATAGAGACAGGCTTAGACGAAAATAGTTTATTGTAAAAGTTTCAGGTCTTTTGATTTGCTTCTATTCTCAAACAAGGTCATCAAATCTGCTACCTTATCTGTATGATATTAAACACACGCCATTACCATAGTTGTACCTTAGGATATAACAGTAGTAAGACCTGAAATATTCACAAAAACTACTTACGCTAAGGTTTGTCTCCGTGAAAATTTTCAAGTCGAAACTCGAAAATCTTTTTTTGACACCATAGCATTCATTAATAAGTCAAGGGCATGAACTCTGTTCAACGTATCATATAACCTCGGCTTAAAAGCTATTGAACAGCTGAAAGGTCTTTCCTCGTAAGAGAACAAGACGAAGTCACAACGAACTTTATGAATGATAGCAAATTGATGCGCACAAACCATGTTTTCGAAACTAGTCAATTTAAATACAGAAATTCGTGTCCTATGAATAGAATACATAATCGCAGCCCTTTGGGCACTAACTTTCTTGTGAAAACCATTGTTACATGTTTTGAAAAGTCGCAACTTTCTCACTGTTGACTTTTAAACTATGCAGTTTTGAAAATTGTTCGCTATACAACAATATGAAACACTCGGTTTACATTCTTCGTACTTGATAAATAGGTAAAATTTCTTTCATAATACTCACAATAATACTTATTTATTAGAAGTATTTGCTTTCCTCATCCGTATCAAAAAAAGAACTTTAAATAAACTTCTACGGCGAACCAAAAAATCAGTCCATCTGATTGAACCAACGCGGAGATGTTTCATTTTTTTTATCGTAGTGCTATTTATCACCCATTATCGAGATTTAAATAGTAAGAAATGGTGCAATAGTTCAAAATATATATATATAGTTCTGTATGCAGAGAAATAGCAGTGTTAAAGGTTTTTCTTGATTAATTTTAGAAGATCTGAAAAAAAAAAATCATGAGCTCAATTACAATTTTGATACATCAAAAACAATGAGTCATTTCAAGATTAATGAACTATAGCAATTTTTGAAAAATTAAGATTATATCTTAATAAATGAAATTTTTATCTATTTAGAAGAATTAGTTGATAAACAAAAACGAGCTCGACTTTGGGAAATTTATTTGGGTACAAAAGATCATACAAGAGATAAATTAAGTGCTGAAACAGCCCGTATTCGTAATATTGAAAAACGATTAGCAAGTATTAAAGGTGATCATCGTTTAACAAATGAGACATTGTTTCCATCAGGAAAAGGAAAGCTCTATCTTCGTAGTCGTTCAGATTCTCGACAAATGACTGCACAATTATCAGTTATCGAAGAACCATCAACACTTCGACGTCGTTCATCATTTGACCAACAAACACTTGAACGATGGAAAGCTCTCGCTAATCAATCGAAAACACATGAACAAATGCCGTGGACTATACGTAAATTAATGATTCGAAGATATTTTCGACGTCTTACAAAAAGACCTTTACCAATAATACGTCAAGATTCTTCTATAACTAATCCAATAACAGATGATTTATTATCATTTACAAATCAGATTAATATTCTTACACAACATCATTCAGAACTAAATCTTGATGAACTATCAACATGTGATGAAAGACAAAATCCTTATTTAACTTATTTTTTTAAACCAACAAGTCGTCCAAGTATATTAACATCACGACTTTTCCCTACATTATCTGAACATTAAATAAAATAAAATATTTCATTTTCTTTCATATTCTCTTTGTTTTTTTTCTTTTACAAAATCAAACAAAAACGCCTCAACAAAAAAAATGCAGCTCGCAAATGGACGGAGAATAAGAAAAAACAAAAACAAAATACATATACCAATAAATGTTGCCTTACATACACTATACAAAAGAAAAAGAAGAAAAAAGACAGAAAGAAAGAAAGAAAGGACAGCGTTTGTGATTCAACATGAGATTCAATATTATCACTGTCGTAGACGTTTCATATGATTATCATTATCCATATTTTCATCAATTGACCGTTTTAATAATGTTTGTTGTTGATTATTAAGAGTAGAAAGAACTTTTTGTTTATCATTTATTGATGAAGAATCATCATGTGAATCACATGCTGATTGTCAAAGAGCTTTGCCTGGCCTATAAAAGAAAAAATTGCGTTCTTCTTCTTTCCTATTCAATTATTTTTTTAATTATTAAACTTACAAAGCAAATGACATATTCTTAAAGTCATGTTCAGGAATTCCGGTTAAAAATAATGTTGAACATCCACCATTCAATTGTCCATTAGCAACAGCAACAGCTTGATTTGATTGTTGTATTTGGGTCATACCTGTCGTTCCTTGCATTGGATGACCCAAACCCTATACAACAAAGAAATTCAACTATACAACCATATCAAACATACAAAACAAAAAGTCTGTATGTCATAAAATAGTGTACCAAGCAAAATTGTGAGTAATTTTATATATACGCGAGCTTATAATCGAAGACAATGTCTTTTTCACGCATGATAGTGGGTGAAAAATAATTTTTTGATGCTCTTATTAGTGTATATGAATAGATATTACTGTTCATATATATAAATAAATTTGAAGAAAAAAAAACAATGATTGCGTCCATTTGACACAATTTGTGGTAGTGGTTGTTGTGATCGATTAGCTAATATCGATACTTACACTACGTATGACTATGATCTCAAGAACTTAAATAATACAATGCTTTGCTTTGTTTTTTTGTTGTTCAAGATTGATAAGAAAAAAGAAAGCCTACCATTGGTGGTCCATGTAAAGCAGTATGTAATAATGCAGGATGATGAAGACCAGCTGAAGCTAAATCAAAAGCTAATGGTTGACCCCATGTATCAGTTGGAAAGAAAGCTGCACTAAGTTCTTCTAGAATAAATCATTTCTAATTTCAATTAAAAATATCAACTATGAAGAAAAATTTACGAGGAATTTGAATAAATTGTTGAGTTGCAGCTGTTAATGGATTTTGTGTTGGATGTTTAGGTTTTTGTACTTTAGTATTTGATTTAGCAAATTCAAGTCGAAGTGTTGCTGGAAGATCAGGATCAAATCGAACACCCTAATATATATGATTTAAATAATTAGTTACTCTCTTTTTTCTTTTTTTTTAGAATATTTTACTGTAAGTTCTTGTTTAGCTGTCTCAGCATCAACACGATTAGCAAATGTAACAAATCCAACAGGTGATAAATTTTTACCATTTTTATTTGTTACTTTAAGTAGACTTCCTTCATAACCCTATATATCAAAAAAAAAAGGAAACACATAACCAAAGTTGCACTTGTCTTATTCAATTATAGATTTAATCATTCAACAAACTATTCTCTAATGACTATAATACGTCATTATCTCTAGATTAAATATTGAAAACTTACTTTAAATCCTCGAAATAGAAGATAAAGTTCCCTTGGTTTAGCATCCATTGGTAAACCCGATACGAATAAAGTTCGAACCTAGAATAAAACGATAGATTATTGAAAATATTCAAATAACAATCAATCAATCATTTCTTATTTATTTCAACACACACACACATACATACCGGTCGTCGATATACCAAATGCATTTTCTCACTATTTAAATGACGCATTTTTTTGCTGATACTAGCAGTTACACTAACATGTTCAACAAATTTGTCATGTGTCATCTCCTTGTTCTCGTTATGATTTTTATATGTGCATGTATATGACAATCAAGAAGATGATGAAAAAAAAATTTCGTTATGGTTTTGATCAGTAGCGTGAAAGACAGCGAAAAAAGAAAGGAAGTGAGAGTGACACACTTGAAGTGAACAGTTCTTATTAACAAAGAAATGAAGAGCAATGATGCGGAGGATGAAGACAAGTAACGACGACAAAAAGAGAAGGGGAGAGAGAGAGAAAAAAACTAAAGAGATGAAAAAAAAATATATTGTTTATACAATTGGTAATAATGAGAATAAGAATAAATGTTGATCTAACTTGCATATGTACTTCAGGCGTATCGATATGCATATGCTTTTCAATTAGTTGATGAGCTGTCGAAAGAAAAAACAGATCTTTTTTTTCTTTTAGATATATTTTTAAAAAAAGTAAGTCCAAAAATTTATTGTTGTTTTAATAAGATTCACCACTCGCTTATAAGACAATCACAATGACATTTTCATGTATATACACACACTTCAAAAGGCTTTTACGGCAAAAATAGAATAATAACAATAATGTAGAAGTCTTCGTTCGAACTAATTGAATTTCATGGATCAATACTTGAGAACAAAGAACCGAGATATACAATAAATGTATATAGAAAATGATAGTATTTTTAAAAATTGTAAAAATAAAAGTATAATCAAAGTTGATAGTTATTGTATCATAGATCATATAATATGAGAAGATTAAGTCGATTTCAAACTTCAAAATAAGAAACGATATTTACCAAAAGGTCTTTTCATAATAGCATAACTAATTATCTTTGAAAGATACAAAATATCACTCAACTAAAAGTTTTTAATGTCTATATATAATATCAATATATTCTATTCTGTAAGTAAAGGATGATCTTTTTTGTTTTTTAGATATTTGATAACAAACAATCTGTTAATGCTTATTTATCTTAATCATTACCGAGGGAGTATTTGTCTCAATCTAAAGATAAAAATGATATTTACCAGATTTTTTTTTCTTATTATCGAAGTGCAGAACACACAAAAACAAAGCAGTGAAAGGCAAGTGAAGAACTTTTCGGACGAAAATCTGTTTTGATTTTCTTAGTAGAAGCTCTAATATAAGATTATTATTTTATTGTTGTTGTTGTTTTTTAATTTCAAGTGCTTATGGTGTATATGGTGATGCTAGTGCAAAAGCTTCATTCACTAAAAAAGTGCTTTTAAGGGTTACGTGCTAATCATATGTAAAATGTGATTCGAATATATTGTTTTATTGAAATTCTACTTGCAGTACTTACTTCATTTAGTTCATCAGTAGAACTTTTCATCGTGTAACAATGACTATAACAACAGACAATATATAATAGAACGAATTGATAGTGATCTAAGAAATAAAAACTTCTTCTATTCCTGTTTCTATATACCTCTTCACCTTAACAATCAATATAAATAAATGATTAATAATTATTGAAAAAAAAAACGAGGATGATACTAAATATTTGTAATAGTATTGTTCGTTTATTTGCTGCTAGAACCGTAATCGAATCATCATATCAATTAAAATAGGTGTAATGCGAGAAGAACAAAATAAAGTGCAGTTGCTCACTTTTGTTTCATCTTCAATGAATAATAAAAGAAAGAAAAACGATAGAAAGTTTTTCTTCTTTTTTTTTTCTTCGACACTCTACTACTTCTTCCGTCACAAAAAAAACCGTATTGGAAAGAAAAAAATATTTTAAATGCAGTAAAAAAAAAAGAAACCGGAAATCGATTGGTAAAAAAAGAAGAGAAAAAGAAATCGATCGGAACGACGGAACAGCTCGATCACTTGTCACATCTAGAAAAGCTTAATGTACCCTAAAGTAACTGCAACTGAACGGTAGTCTTTAATCGGAAACAATTTTCAATTACATGAGCAAAAAAAGAAATCATTCAATGAATAATGGTCAAATAAATAATAAATTGTTCAGAATGCTTAATATTCAAAATTTCGGCAATACAAAAAAGAGAAGTCAATCTGATCTTTCACATTCATGGCAATCCTTATATATTAATAGACTTAAGAACTTCATGTAGGTTGTTCTACTAGTTCAATAAAACTGTCTTCTAAATTAAAGACTCATATAAAACACCAATTATTAAACTAAATTATAGATAATGTTATATTATTATTAATGGGATAGTTATTATACATGATACTTTTATTTATATATGTTATTTAGAGAAGAAGAAGAATGAATATGAAAACTGATCGATAACATGATATGGATTTATCACAAAGTAAATCGATACTACAAAAGGTCATATTCAATCCTTAGAAGAAAAAAATGATTACTTTCTTACCTAGAGTCTGTTTCACTTTTATTATTATTGTTTATTTCTTCATTGAGTATATTTGTTTCCATTATAATAATACGAAAACTGATTGTATATATCTGTATTTACTAGTTGTTCTTTCTTCGTATATGTTTATATGCGGTATTACCGTGTACAAATGAGACACATATATAAAAAAAGCGAGAAAAAAAAAGAAAGAAAGATTCTATGAATGGAATTATCGTAGTCGATATTTTTCTTGATATTCCATTGTTGTGTTCTCTATAGAGAACGATGAGTATTGTTCTCATGTATTACAGATCATAATTCCATATGGTTCTCTATTGTTTTTTCTTTTTCTTTTCTTTTTTTTTTTTTTATTTCAATCATGTCTTTTGAACTTTTCTTTTTGAAATAAAAACTGTACCCTCAAGCATCAATAAATTCATGTCCATTTAAGTTTTAGCAGTAACAAAATGATGAGTATTGTTCAAGAATTTCTTCTTTTCTTTTTCTTTCTTTGTTAATGATTCGACAAGTGCATACTACTAGAGTAGTAGAACAACTTTAGGTCTGGTCTAAATATTTTTTTTTCAATAGAAATCATGACTTTCTTTCATTTCATTTACTGTCAACAAGAAGAACGACTAACATGATGATAATTATAACCTAGAAAATGACGAACTTCCGACAAGAGAAAAAAACCCTTGAAGTATCATTTTTCCGATATATCATCGTAGTTCTTCTTCTTCTTCTTCTTCTTAAAAATAGGTCCCTTGTGTAATACTAAATATACACATATAAATCTCGTAAGAAATAAATTAAAAATTGATTTTTATTCAATAAAAGAGTTATCTCTATCCATTATTATATCTTTCTTATTCATTCGCCTAGTTGTTAAAAAGAGCAGCTGTGCGTTTTAGCAATTAGCATACGGTCGGTCGCATCTTCCGTCTTGTCGCCCATTAACTACATATGCTCGCAATAAATTCAATAATGTAATAAGCAAAAAAGCATCGAAGATCGGCAAGGATCATCAGTCATGCGTAAGTTTTCTCATCTCACACATCCCAGTCTTAACCAATTTTCTTTGATTATAAAAGACAAAAGTATATACATAGACACATTTGTAAACATATCGACAAAATTATTTTCTACAATAAAGTTAATGTTCTAGATTTATTTCGGGTCTTACTTGTTCATAGGTCCATACGCTAACATAGGCAACATTTGCATCGTTAGAAAATTGCGAAGTCGATAAACAAGAAATAAATGAAATGTAAAATAAACGCAAGTGATTATTATTAGAAGAAAAGGAAATCTGTTCTTCGTCTAAAGCTTTCAATCATTCCACATAAATTAGTTCATTTGTCGAGTTTACATACATATTTGCATGTCAACTAAATAGTATTTTGTGTTTTTCCTTACATCGATTTATTTTTTATGAATCATTAACTTTTTTTCTTTTTTTTCCGGAATGAACAAAACGAAAGAATTTTAATACCTTAATCGATATTATACACAATAACATCAATCGGTTTTAAATTTCTCGATACTCGAACAATGTCATTGATAAAAGTAACGTTAGACAATAGCTTTGTTAAACATAATCAACGATTAGAATCTTAACGTATGCGTAGAAAATATAACAAGAGAAAAGAAGCAACAGACAAAAAAATAAATAACTATAACAGAACAGTTAGAGATGTAAATATTTCAGTTATCTCTAGGAATCATGTATATTTTCATCTTACCTCATCATCTTGTAAGCCAATATTATTTATTGATTCCATACTTTGTGAAAGACTATGTCCATTTAAACTACCACTGATTTCATCATTATTATTTGTTGTCAATACGGATGATCCGTTGTTATTATTTGTTGTTAATAGTGAATTTCCATTATTGATATTAGGAACTGTTAATGAATGAAATGTATCATTGGCAGGTATTGATTTCACAATTTGTTGATGAGAATGTAATGGTAGAGGAGGTCGATGAAGTGGATGTTGAAATTGATGTTGAACAGAATGAAACATTGTTGGTGAAGATTGTTTAATAAGAATTGATTTTGAACCTATTAATGATGTTGTTGGGTCTGATAAAAGATACGTTGAAGAAGACGATGTCATTTGTATGATAAAAATTTTTATCTAAATATAGACATATGTCGAATTGTTACCTTATGGTTGAACATAATATACAATTTCTCTATGTATGTACAAGAACAGAAGAAAAAAAAATGATACACGCCCGTTTCAACGACGGTCACGCACATAAAATTCTCCATCATCAGGCATAAAACGGGAACGAAAAAAGGGAGAGAAGAGAATAGAAGAAAAGGGTCGTTTTATGTAGACTCCACATGCATGTTCTGCAGCTGTGTGAATGAAGAGAGAATTGAAAGGTATTGTGCGCATTCTCATTTGTGCTCGTTTCTTAGTTGTTCTACACGAAGAGAGGTGTAGTGTTTTCTTCTCTTTTTCTTTTTTTCCTATCGTCTGCATTAATCTATCTATTTTTCTATCTCTTCTTTGTGCTTTTCCTTCGTCTACTATTATACTTACATACAGCGTATAGCACATCGAAGTTTATTTTAAAAAAAAAACAGAGGTGTGAGCAAGTCATGTTTCAAGAAAAGGAATGTTTGCAGAAGTAAATGACATCGGTCGATAGAGCTACTTTTTTTTGACAAGTAAATTGTTCTCGTCACTCAATTCTACGGCTGGTGCACATAAACATACGCACTCGTGGACGAGAACAAGAAAAAAAGGAAAATGCCTAAAATAAGAGAAAGAAAGTTCATTTTCTGTTTGAATTTTGATTTGCTGATAATTTCAATGAAGTTTCTATTGTAACTAAAGTAGTCGATAAGCATAAAATATATTATTATGTCTAATTAATAAAAAGATTATTCTTAAAAATACATGGACGTACTATAAATCAGATGATGAAGTGTGTTTAGGTAAATAGAAAAGTTGAGCGTAAAATCATCTATAGTTTGGCAGAAGTTTGATATGATTAAAGAAAAAAAAGTATCACATAAGAAGATTTTCATGATTATAATGTCGTCTCTTATTTATATTGCGTCAAAAAAAATGGAAAAATAGCTTTGATTATTTGTTGATGTTTTTTAAGATGACGATAGCAACAGGCGATACTCTTATTCTTTTTTTTATTATTTTTTTTTTAATGTTTCTATTGCTATTTCTGTGACACACATTGCAAATATCTTTCTATATTTGTGATTATTGTCAATATTTCATTACTATTTGTTTGTTAGACTTCAAATAACAAAAAGAAAACCCAGTAGTTACGCGAATAATAAAATAGAAAAAAAAAAGAAGTAAAGAGCAAACATCCATTTTTTTTCTCTTTTAATAATGGAAAAGAAATTTAGAATTCGTATAGGAGATATTATTATTCTATATATATATATGTATATGAAACATATAAAACTTCTATTAATATGTTAACATATTGAATGATAAGAACTAGAGATGTCAAGGATAAATATAAAATGAAAAAAACAAAGAGATGTCCTCATTAGATTATGATACATGATGTGCCAACTTGAAAATATTAATTATGTCTTAAAATAGATTTTGCTTTTGTTCTATATATCCTCATACAAACAAAACGATAAAAATCAGCAGAACGAAAAACAATTATTTCAAGAAGCTGATATTTTTAAAGAAAATTAATAGTATTGAAAATGACGTATGATATGGATTATGATAATTATTTCAAATTAATATCGTATTAATGCTTTCGCAATTTTAAACTGTAATCGAGCATACTCCGAGCAAGGAGGAGGTGGTTTTCAAAAATTGTCGATTTTCTCACGTCAAGTCCTAGCATTTTGTTTTATCTATTCACCAATTCAAAAAACAAGCATTAAACCACCGCGCTCTCAAATCAGGTCAACTTCAGCCGAAATCTTTCATATAGTCTCTTGACTCATCTAGCCGCTCAATTCTCGTGACCTCAGGGCATTCCTAGATAAAATTGGTATTAAAAATAGAAATTCAATAATAGTATCTCCAACATCTATTTTCTATCTTTTCTAGATTTATTTTACTATCTCTAATAAACCATGTAATAGATTTGAAAACTAATTTATGAATAGAAATAGTTGAAATCATGACTTTGCTCTAATACCAAAGATTTAATAGAGAAAATGTAATTAGTCTAGATACAATGAGAAACAATTCAAATTCTTCAAGAAATAATATATTTCATTTGGAAAGTTCAATATAAATGAATGATCTTGTAAAATTAATGCTATGTCTTCATCCTCACATAGTGCTGTGCCAGTCAATATTTATACAGAGTGTGCATAATCTGAAGAAGAATCAAATCAATAGAGTAAATACAAAGGATTATTATATAATTATTACAAAACAAAATAACGCTTTAAATTTATCGAAAAGAAAAAAGAACAAATATCACTCCGATCTTCAATTTAAAGGCATAAGATTCCAAGTTTTATACTATCACTTGTAACTGTTTCAATCAAATGTCTATACTACTTCTAGTTTCATCGACATTAGACTTACGGAATCATTATTATGGATGCAAACTATTGAATAGACTTGATTGCTAAATAGAATTCATGGCATGAATCACCGTTTGAATGCGTTAAAATCAATTTACGGAGTTCATCGGATTTGGATCTGAAAATTGAAATATGAATGTGAAATAAAGAGACATATATTCAAGGAATCCATAAAAATTTATTCGATCGAGTTGAAAATTTTTTTGGAAATACCTAAGACTATATCTCAGAGTAATTGTAAACTTTTCCAAAATCTTACTTTTTTTATGAGAGTAATACGTAAATTTTCGGTGCTAAAATTGAGGCTTTGGCTTTCAAGACTCTGTAACTCAGAATAGGCAAACGAAGTTAGACAGGGCTCAAAAGTAAACAATGAGGCTTCGATGATAAACCAGGGCTTCCCAAAAAAAAAAAACGCAAAATTCTATTTCAAAATCTTTTCCCGTGAACATATATCGTCTTATTTTTCATCCTCTATTTGTGGTAAAAGTTCTAGCTTCATCGGCTGTACCATCTTCGAGAATCAGAAATGTTCAAAAACAGGAAAAGTGCCCTTAAAGAGAGTAGTTTATTGTGAAAGTTTCAGGTCTTTTGATTTCCTTCTACCGTTAAATAAGAACGATAAATTTACCGGTTTATATGAGCGATATAAAAGACACTCTATTGTCATAGTTGTATTTTTGGATAGGAATAACGACAAGATCTGAAACATTCACAAAAAAAAAAACTATTCCTGTTAAGAGCTCTCTGTATGCAAAGTTTCAAGTCGATAATCAATTGTCTCTTCTCAGCATATTCATATACCCATGTCGTTGAAATAGCTAAAAAGTTGGAGATTAATTATGGATTGAAATGTGATAAATCGTGTTTTTGTAATAGGCTAATAGAAGAGATTTATTTTATCTATCATCGATTTCTACTGTTATACTGAAAAGTTCTTCTTACTATCTCATGATAAAAAATATCTTTATCAAAAAATTGAGAAATTAAATTATTCTACATGAATAAACATGTAATAAAAAATTAAAAACAAAACAAAACGGCAGACAATTCTACATGGTTAAATAAGAACACAATCAAAAAATTAAAAAAAGCGTTCATATGTTAAAATTGAATTTTTGCTTTGAAGTCACTCCACACATACACGTTATTTGTTAATAAATTATACATCTAAAACAGAGCACGGAGTAGAAGGCATAACTAAAAAGTAGGACAAGCAGGATGACAATTTCTCAAATCTCATAGTAATGAAGACTACATCAAAAATGTGTAGAAGTAATATTTGACTCTCAATTTTACAGACTTGAAATATTTCTCTCATTAATTGATACTATGCAATCAATTTCTCAAATTAGTGATTAAATGTGATTTATCGTCGATCTTTGAAAAAATGCTTTTTGTGTTCTTTAATTGCCGACTATCGAGTTTCGTCGATAGAATCCTGTGATATTAAAGTATCTAGTTCTGTTTTTTTAATGATTATTAGACAACATGCAAAATATATGTTTAATACTTTTTATGACGACGCGAATCTGTTGTTCATTAACCAAAGTAAAACATTCAAACTTCTTAACGACTGTTTACAAGTGACACAGGGAACCATACAACGCCATGAATACTAGGTATAAATTTTTTCTTGATTTTAAATTTTTTTTTGAACAATTGAATGTAATAAGAAGTTAAAATAAAGTAAATTTAAACTGTTGATTTTCAGCTAATTTTAAAAGAGAAAAGCAGTAGGGGAGGAGGGAGGTTCAAGCAATATGTATTGTCCGAGATGCGATTCTATCAGATATTGTTAGATTATTCTTGGATATCTTATGGAATCCAACTTTAGGATTCTTTGACTTAGGCTCATGCTGATGTTGAATTTAATCTAAATTAAAGAAAAAAAATTTTTCATAAATACTTACTGTTGAAAGTTTTTACAAAACCACCGATTAGTCGTCAAAACTGAGCCGACTTTGATAATATGGAAATTTTGTCTGATGTCATACATATATGATCAAATTGACTTTGTGTTTTTTTAATTTCAACTTCGATAAACGTTAGCTTTGTAGATTCGATTGTAAATATATGACTACTATGCATGTCTCTGCATACGATAGATAGCACTAGAAGATGGTGCATATTACATGCAATCCGATCAATCGTTCATTAAACGAATAAAAACTGAGTTATTTTTAAAAAATTCAATTAGGAAATTTTCTTTTATAAACGACAATCATAATGAATATCTTCACTCGTATATACTAATACTACAACAAAAACCCGTTCATGACAAATAACATAAGCGAATCATATGTGTCCTTGTCATCAGCTCCATTTATAAGACATACAATGAGGATTATTTCTCATAGAAAAATTATTTAAAATCAAATGGAATAAAATTCTTGTTTTTATAAATGATTTGAATTTTCAAAAAAAAAGAAATAATGAGTTCATCAACAAATTCACAATTAAAAGACAATTTACTTGAAATAATTAATAATTTTCGTGTATCCGATTTACAAGTAAAATTTTTTTTTTAAAATTTTTTCCAACTTCAAAATATAAACATCTTTTTTCAGGCTTTACTTGAATATGCATGTCTTTCACGGCAAGGTAATAAACGTGAATTATTTCAGCGTTGTAAAATTCTCATATGTTCAAATTTTACTCAACAATTATTAAATAAAATTCATCAAATAAATATAACACGAATTAATTCGACAAAACCACAACGTCCATCAGTATCTCTTTCTTTATCATCTACATGCCGTGATTATCATAAACAAAATTCAGTTATATTATCGCCAAATTCATCGATTGATAATTTACCAGTACCTAATCTTGTACAAAATGTTCAGTTACCTTTTTATGATAAACTTCGAACAATTGAATGTATAAATATACCTGTTGATTGGAATAAATTTTCTCCTTTACGTTTTATTTTAACTGACTTCGATGTTGATTTTATACTTAAAGGTATAGCTAAAATTTTTCTTCGTATTTCACCAACAATTACATCTGAAAAACAAAATGATGTTTTACCACCTTATTTATTCGTTCAATGTAACGTAAGTGTGTAATACTAAAAAGAGTTATGTTAAATTATGGACTTAACATTCTAACAAATCTGAATCTAGTTTTATTAGCCTAAGAATAAGTACTGAACTCTGATTTTATCACTGTTCTATTAGAAGTCTTTTTATTTCGATAGCGCTAAATATGCTGATTTCTGAAAACCTTAAAGACCAGTTTTACATATAAATTTCCTTTAGAATCTATTTGAAACTCTTCGAAAATAGGTTCTTTTGATGCAGAGTTTCTTTCTCTATGAGAGCTCTTTAGATATTCAAATATTCTCTATTGATAAATGTCAAATATTCCTCCGATTCGGTCATATTATTATAAATAATAATTTTTTCAGCCTTTTGAAATCGAGTAGAAGAAACTTCGCTTGCCTTTTAAAAAATATCATAATTGAAAATATCACAAAAAACTAAGTCTACTTACATGAATTTTCCATTGTGTCTGTGATTCTTTTTTTTTCGACCGAATTTTCAACCCTAATCCATCTCAGAGATATCTAAAAAAATGAACTTCATTGAAAAATTCAAGTGGTTTTGATGAAATTCATTTTTCTGCATTAGAAGTAAGAAATTTGACCGAAAAAAGAAGTCACAGAAATAATTTGAAAGCCGCATAAAATCGACTCAATGTTTTTGTGATGTTTTCATATATGATATTCTTTTAGAAGTTTGTTCTGCTCGAAAGTCGTCGAATATTAGTCAAAAAAAAACACAAATACACTCTGAAGTATACTAATTAGAGTAAAAGTGCATCACTTGGTGCATCCGTAGAAACTATAACATCATAAGACTGACAAAATCACAGTTCGTAACAAGATGACCCAATCAGACCGGGATTTGAATACTTAAGTAATTCTGCATCAAAGAAATCTGTTTTTGCCGTATTCAAAATAGATTTTAATAAACTTTTAGGTCACAAGCTGGTTTTTCAGGCCTTCAACCGTATCGAACTATAAAGATTACTAGTAAAACAGCGATAAAAAAATTTTCTTTTCGATATCTGAGCGGAAGTCTCGGTGTGAAAAATAATCAGGGTTCAATGCTTATTCTCAGTCTAATTTTTGGAATGCTAACTCCGTCGTTTGACACACTTTCATTAAAAAAGAAAAATCGAACGTAAAAATCTTTTGATTTCTAGGGTCAAACAGTTATTAATAATAATGTATCAAAAACAGTTGGTTCTCAAGCTCATTCAATAGTATTTCCAACTGATATAACAGACAATTTAATTCCTAAATCAAATATACAGAATACATTAAATTATCTTTGGCTTCAATCACCAATAAATATGTCATTGAAAAATTTACCGAAATCTTATACATTAAAAATTCAACTTGTTCGTTATGTTCCATTAGATTATTTATTTGAAAATATTCTTAAACGTGAATCACTATTAAAAAATGTCGATGATAATGATAGCGACATTGAAATTGAAGATACTGGTTTAATGGCAACACAACATCGTGTTTCATTAATTTGTCCAATAACCCAATCATTAATCATTGTACCAGCTAAATCATCGTACTGTTCACATTTAACATGTTTTGATCTTCGATCATTTCTTCAAATGAATGAACGACGTTTACAATGGACATGTCCACTATGTAAAAAACCAGCTTCATATGATAATTTATGTGTTGATAAACGTTTACAATCAATACTTTCGAATGTTCCACCAAATTGTTCAACTGTTGAAATCGATTCATCAACAAAAACTTTATCCGATTGTCATTATATATTAGATAATATTAAACAAGAAAAAACTAACATTGCTATTACTACTCCATTAAATCAAAATGAGAATAATGATGATGAGAATGACAATGATGATGATGATGATGATGAATTAATACATAATTCTTCAATTAGTAAGTTTAAAATAATTTATTAAACGAGAACATCCTATGAAATATAGGTCAATTTTGTGCAGCAATATTTGCAACTGAGAATTGATAAAGATACTTTAATTGTACAGTATAATCCTGTCGATAACATTTAATAAAGAAAAGATCTTATATAGTAGGTATGCTTGATTTTAGTTACAGTTCATCTTTAAATAGAGAGTTTTCAATTGACATATTTGTTTCTGTCACTAATAACAAGAGAAATTCTCCTTACTGATTGATCGATTTTAAGTCAGAACTATAAATATCCTGGAAAAAGTCCAAATCTTTAGTTTATTGTTCCAGACATACGGTATTCTCTAAGTGAATATCGTCGTCTCATTCGGAAAATTTATTTTCGAATTATAATTTGAGATTTTGTCACAGAGAAAAGCTCTAGACCAAAGTATTTTATTGTAAAGGTTTCAAATCTTTGTCTTCTTCCATTGTAAGATACGGCTATAGTAAATGTCTGTCTTTTATATTGTTCGTAAACATCATTTTATTCGATGTTCTTATTTCAGAATAGGAGTAAATCAAAAGATTTGAAACTTTCACAATAAACTATTCTCGTCAAGGACCTTTCTCTGTATAAATTTTTTAAGATTGTGTTTCACAATATGTATTATACTTGTTAATTCTTGTGCAAGAGTGAACAATTACTATTTTGCTAAGTTTTAATTCGAATTCGTAACACCTTTTATCAGAACTCACAACAATGAGATCTAAAGATTTTCCTATCTCGATCATCGATCGATTTCTCAAATAATGACCGATAGAGAAATGATTTAGAATAAACAAAGAAAAATAGAAAATGAGTAAGTTCACTATATTCAATTGAGTAGATTATGTAAAATGATACACGCAAAACAAACCGATGAATGAATAGTTAGCAGATTAATTATGATACATTTTATTTTAGTGCGTCATCTAAGAAGTTTATATTGTAATTCACTCTTTCATACGATGTTTTAATCATGTAACGATAGTAATGAAATCATTGAGCTTTCCAATATGTAAATATTTCTAAAAACATACTCTTGCTCTATAGTAATTTTATGCGAAGTTTTCTTCTTTGATTATATATATCGATTTTGATGAATGAAGAAAACAAAGAACAATGGTATGTGTTTTTGTAATTTCCTTGTTGTTCTAATGCTAATAAAGCTAAGCGATTTGTCTAGGTATTTGTTACTTTTATTCAAAATTTTGTAAAAATCAAAGAGAGATCACAACAAATCTCGACATAATCTTTTTAAAATCTCTATTCAACTTTGACTTGCGCCACCGAGTAATGAACTAATTAAGTTATTCTTCAAATATTTGAATATAATTTATTTTGAATTTAACTGTAACGGCATTTATCTTTTCTTGCAGATTAATTTTTATATGCTTTATTAGTAATCATTTGTAACCGTAACGAAACTAAGAATTATTCATATCTGCCCGGCCCAACTGACACTTGTCATAAAGTTATTTCTTTTAAAAAAAAAACAAATTCTATCTAGTGAAAGTCAACGATCATATCGGTTATCTCTATCAGATGATTCTAACGCTGCTAAAAACAGCATGACGGATAAGACGAATCTCTTCTCGAACCAAAAACAAATCAACTATGTTCAACATATTTCATTTTCGTGAAGAGTTTCACTTATCAGCAAAGATCTCATAAGATTAAATGATTTACTGATCAATTTCAAAGAGATAGATGGGTTATTAGTTATAACTTGCATTGTTAATTTTAGTCTATCACTAACATTGCTCTATTTCACTAATACTCATAATGGTTCGTAGAATTAACATTTCATTTGTCCTTGCATCATTAAACGAAAGAAATATTCTTTTTATTTGTTTGCCTAAATAGAAATCTAATTGTATGATGTATAAATTTGTTTTTGATAAATTAAAAATTTTTTGTTTTTCTCATTTAAAGAATCTCGTCGTCAATCAGTGACAAGTGATTGCGTTATTCTTTCATCTGGAAGTGAAAGTAAAGATGAAAATGAAACCGAAGATAATAATACACAAAGTACAAATTCATCTATTCCAGTGACTCCACTTTCAAATGATTTATTTAATCAAGATAATCTTATTGATGAAAATCAACAAATAAGTAGTACTATTGCATCATATATTAGTGTAAATTCATTACAGTCTCTAGCAGCATCAAATATTGATGATGGAAGTTATTGGGCAGAATTAGCCAGAATGACATATGATTTAATATCAGATAATAATAATGAACAAAATCGAAATCGAAATCGAAAACGAAGTACTAATTCTATGTTATCATTATTATCAAATGGTGATGATCATCGTCATCAAAAACGAGCAAAACGATCATCAAATAATAGTTCACGATCAACTGATATTGATGTCATAGTTATTTCATCAAGTGACAGTAGTGATAATGATGATCATTTATCATGATAACAAATAAATACATATATTTTTTTTTTCGTTTATTATATCTTTCTTTTTGTTCCATTGTACATTTGAAGCATTTGATTGTCTATATTTCTTATCTCGTTTGTGTGTGTATGTATACGTTGAATGAAAAAAGAAAACCAGAATCATAGAATAAAATTCATAATATTTTTAGGGCAGTTGCTTTGTCCTCAGATTACATATATTTTTTAGATTTTTCTTTTTGTCGAATGAAAAAATAAATTTATGATACTGGATATGTGCAAGAGAAAATGGAGACTTATAAATAAAAATATACAAGAGCAACCTAAGTAACCGATATACTTTGATACAACAACAGTCACCAATAGACTCTTTCCGTCCTCCTTTGTGTGTATGCATGTAAATGTACGATGTCCTCCATTTTCTTTCTAACCATTCATATTCTTATTTCGACGAATAATGATTCGTACTATTCCATGGTTTATTTTTAATGATTGGATATATTTTTATGTTAATCTGAATTAATTCATATTGATTTTTCATGATAGGTAAGAATAAAAAACAATATATTTCTTCGTTTTTCTATTATCCAAGTCGTTGAGTACGACATGCACCTGGATTTCTATCTGTGGCATTGTTCGAAATTTACGCTTGGCAAATAAAATTAATTAAATTCGATTGTTTTTTTTTCTATGATCATATATATATATGAATATCGAATTTAATTATACAAGAAAAATAAATAAACAAATAAATTATTTTTTTTTAATTTTATTTAGTTTTTCTCTATGGTTGTCATATTCAATGGATCTATTTGATAAACAAGATAGTATAGCATTATTATTTGTTAATTATGTTGGAATAATGCCTAGCGTTGGTGGTAGTTAACAAGTTCGAGATAGTGTCGAATGTATATTCTCAAAAGATCAACAACATTTCCATTCATTCGAAATGTGCGGGATAATTTTTTTCGTTTTATTGCATGAATATTCAATGAAATTTGTATTTATTAATTATTGTTTGTAAATTAATAATTGAAAAAATAAAAATAAATTTTAATTATGTTTGTTACATTTCTCGAATTTTTTTCTCTCGATCTAAATAAAGATTCATTTTTTAAAGTATATTTATTATTTTCTAAATCCAGATGGCTACAGAAAAAGTTCAAGCTACGATAAGTGTTAAATCAGAAAATTTCCATCAAACATTCGAAGAATCTATATTTGATTCATCTACAACAAATCAATTATCTTCTTATGAAGAATTAATTGCGGCTAATGAGCGTTTGAAAGTAAATATTTCAAAGATATTTACTGAATTTGTTAATAAAGCTCGTCTTGAACAAGAAGCTAATGGTGATAAGAAAAAACGTAAAATAAAACGTAATTATATTTTTATTCAGTTTTGAAAAAGAATTTTCTTCGTTTATTATTTTCTTTTAATAGATGATGATGACGAGAAAGATGATGATGATGAAGAAGGAGAAGAAGAAGATGGCGATGCTGCCGAATCATCGGATAATAATGAAGATGAACAATAATTTTAAAGAAAATTCCAATTATTTTCAATAGTTCTTTTTTTTTTTTCGAAATTTTCATTCTATTAATCTCGATTGAATGATAAACTGACGTCATGTTTGTATCTACATTGACAAATAAAACTCTAATTCTATATGATAATGTGATTGATGCTGAAAGGAAGAGAATTGCTTTATAGTAGTACCAATATCATTAAAGATACTCTTGAATGAATTTTATTATATATTTAATATAAAATGAGAGTTCAAACAGTAGGACCTGATTTAATATTTCTAGTCTGTTTAGCTATGAGCAGGGTCATCTTGATCATATCTATCTAGAACATATGAATCATGGCAATATGAGGTTCGTCGCAAGTTTTACATGATCATAAGACTAATAGCAAGGACACTGTTTTATTCATTCTATTTCGGGACATAGTTTTTCACCATTCTGTCACTTAATGCTCGAGAGGTGTAGTAAGAAAGTAGTTTATATATTTTAGCTAGGTGTAATTGATATATGGTATGTGATAGAGGAGGACAAAGAGCGTTGCTAAGGCGTTCGTTGCAGTCCTATCACGTTTGTGGGTGCAGAACAGAGAGTGGGCATATATTTCTGCTCTTATACTTCAACGCTCCTTTTAAACCGTACTTCATAAAAGTATTGGTTCTGGAACTGGGATCATCTTGCATTTATCTAGTTGTAAGAATTGTTTATTCTTTCAAATATGCATTCGTTATCATAATTTATGCTCAATAGAGATGACCAATATAATTAATATTCAAATTAATAGTTGTTCGAATCATTATGCATTAAAAGAGACGATGATATATAACAAAAATATGAAAACGTTCTTCAGTTTATTGAGAGAAGCTCTAAGTATAGTTTCTCTCATCGTTTATTAGCATAGCTAGAAATACGAATATGTTTTCTTCAATAAAGAAATTGAACAAGTTCTATTCAAACTATTTATTTGTATATTGATATATCATTGTGATTGAAAAAAAAAATTTTTAAGTATTGACACACACACATGACGGTTTTTACAATCAAGTTTATTAGTATTATTTAGTCTTTATTAGTTATAGCTATGTATATAACTAAATATCAAGTTTCATAACATGCAAGATAATATAAGTAATCGTTTAAATGGTTTGATAAATGATACGCTCCCATTCTTTTGAATTTTGAAGATATTTTGCACTTCCACATCGGTCTCCACCACCACGACCAGCACCCGAAGAAAGCGACCAACAAAGTCGATATTCAGAATAATAATCACTTGAGTCACAATTACTTAAAAAAGATGTGTGAACATAATATCCATAATAATTAGTATCGACCCAATTCTATAATAAATTTCATCATAAGCTATTCAATTTTAAATAGAAAAAATGGCTAAAAATTCGAATGATAGTTATCTTTTATCTATACATCTTTCAAAATATAATCCTCTGATATCTTTCTTTTTTTCAGTCCGGACAATGATTTGATTATATTTTAAAGAAAAGTTTTTGATTGTTGTTTCACTGAAAGATTATATTGTAGCCAAATCATATAGATGCTTACCTTTGGGCGTCCTTCGAAACCCCAAACGTTATCTGCCACATAGTAGAAACCTATACCATTTTTCTTATTCGGTGTACAATGATTATTTGATGGACACGAATTAAAAATATTTTCACGATCACCTACACCGGCTACAGTTAAAATTTTGTTGTTATTAACAGAACGACAAGCAACAAGAAGTCGTTTGCCTTTGCAAGTATCTGTCAATATTGTAGCATTGAACGATGTATCATATTTACCACGATAGCACTCTTTCCATCCAACGAGAGAGTCTGTCTTCAAATTGAGATGAATACCAACGAATGGTGACAAGAAACGTTCAGCTTGAAACAAAAAAAGACTAATAAAAATTTGAATCTTTTCTATTTGATTTAACTTACGATTCAATCCAAGTTCATTGAGCATATTAGAGAAATTAAAACGTATATCAGCATTTGGTTCTTTAATGTCAAGTTCGTGTGGTGAAAAATTCGACATTCGTTTTATTGCTCGCAATTGATCAAGTAAATATGCGAATTGTACAGGATTATAATCAAGAAAGTATGCATTATTCTCTTTGCTTTTTGATTTTGTTCTGTCTCTATTATCTTTAGTAAACATACGTGCTAATTTTGAATTAGGTATAACAGTGAGAGTTGAACGAAATGTTGTTATTCGTTGACCACCAACATTTAATTCAATAACATCATCCAATGATGATTCAAATTTATTCATATTATTCTGATCATTCGAATCAGTCGATGTTTCATTTTCAACAATTATAGTATTATAATAGCTATGATCATTGTCTGTAGTGTTCTCAGTTGGAATAGAATGTTCAGTTGTGGCTAGAATTTCTTCATCGAGATCATCTTCAACATATTCTACATTGAGACCAACTGTCTTGGCTACTATCTGTTGATTGAATACTAGAAGCCAGGTTATCTAAATATCAAAGGCTATTTTCAAAAACGAAAGAAGTTCTTTTAAAAGTATACATACGAGTAGAACAGAAAACATTATTAATAATCTATTCAGGCGTTAGAGACGAATGAAGAAGTCTATAGCAGTTTTACTTTCTTATATAATGTTGTTTTTTTATTGATAAGACTCTGTTTCTTAGTATAAGTACTATTGATTGACATTCGAAAATATTAATTAAGATCGATGAAGTGATGATAATTATGCTGCAAAACAGTCTTTGTTTTTGTACTTATATTTGATGACAAAATCTATTTATTTGTTTACATGAAGCACATGTTAACGAAAGAAAAATTTCCAGATATTCATTAAAGTGTAGAAAAAATGATAATTCATGTAGACAGAAATTACATTTTATTATTAAATATTTATCGCTATAGTATAGCTAATAGTCTTTTTCGAAAAGCGGTATTTTTAATACTGACAAACGGTATAAAAAAAAGTAAATCGAATTTTTTTAAGACCAGTTATTGACGGTATTTTATTTAGAATTTTATGAAAAGGAAGAAACAATATGATCTAATAGCAACCTTATTGTTAATATATTTGAAATAATAAGAAAACCTTGTTAGGGCTGTTCCTTTTACAGACTAAAGTCTTCTCCAAGATAATCGATGGTCAGAAAAGCGATCTGTTTAATTTTTTCTTGCTTTTCGTTCTTTACTGGACATCATATATTAATTCTAACCATTTGATTTACATCATGTCTCAACGCGCAATTTAGAACATTCACAAGCGTATTTTAGCTGTCCAAATTTCCAGGACGACTTCGAAATGCTCTAGAACCGTCTAAATCTTGTCATTAATGCCAGCCAGCTTTCTTTTTCATCGCTAAGGAGCTCTAAAAAAGAGTCTGACGCCTAGAGTCCTCAGTGGCTAAGGTCTGAAGCTAGGAGAGAGGGGGTTATGCAAAAATTTGACTTAAAACTTGTACTCAATGTTTTCTTCGAAAACATATGTGAGTTTCATTTTGATTACGATAAGCTTTAGTTAAGTTTGAAATTTATTGATAGTTTTCAAAATACTTTTAAAAGAATTTATAGGATAAAAAGGAAACTAACTTTAAATACTAATTCTTTGAATTGTCTTGAGAATAAAAGCTGTTTTTCTTTCAGTTTCATCATCAGTTCAGATTCGTTTTATAACTTCTTGTTTAATACTTTGTATTGTATCTATACGTTCATCGGGGACTTCAGATATTGTTGCATTCTAAAACGAGCACGTAACAATTGAATGACTTAAAAACACTGTTGAAATATACTCGGTAATATATTCGAAAAAATTTAAAAAAAAGATAGTTATTGTAAATTCTTCAAATGCGACAATGAGAACATATGTGTTCGTGAAAGAAAAAATTTTCTTACTCCTCACGTATTAAATCATATAACCTTTTTTTTCTGAGAAAACTAATCTCTAATGATGTGCTTCCTAAATATGTGTACTCCATAATAGATTACAAGGAATTTTTTATTTAGATTACATTAGATCTTTAGTGAAACTAATAAGAGATTAACAATGTTAAATACTCATAAGTTCATTTTTTCTCTTAGATTCTTTTAGCAAATGAAGCTATACGATTCACTTCATTGATTGATAATGTACTTCGATTCTTCAAAATTGCTTTCATGTCATCATTTATAGATGTATATATTTGTAACAAAAGGTCTGAATGGCATAGATAAATATTATTCATTAGTACCATAATGGAAAGCAGATATTTTCATGTGGCTTATGAATTTCAAAGTTCCATGGGAAACACCTGAATCGTTTTTATGTTTGAAACAAAATCGCACTAAAACTAGTCTTGTTAATGTATGGAACGAAGATGAAAAATAAATCCCACGTATCAAAGTCAAAACGGGTTTGAAATAGTGGTTTCAAACACACACATCGACTTAGTATGTTGATCAAAAAGAAATATCCAGTGAACTAAAGTGTTTTTTTTCTTCACTTATTAAATGTCATCATCATTTTCACATTAAAAAAACGAATTTGTTATCTGCCTACTTGGGGTAACAAACATTATCACTAGTCTTCGAAAGTTGTCGTTCTCCGAAGAAAACTCCAAATAACAACATTTTTTCTTTCTTCTCGTTCGTCTGATAAAAAAAAGTGCCTGCACGCCCTCACCGTGTCATTTCGTTTTTTTTTGAAAGTAAGAAAAAGAATAATACCGGTTACTTTCAGACAACTGAAAATCGAACACCTGACTAGTGAAAACCTTTTTTTTGCCAAAAGTAAGTATTTTTAATGTATCTACTACAAAAAAGTGAGACATGTTTCGATTCGAGTTTTACTACATTTGAATCTCTCTTTATCTTGATTTGTATGAATTAGATAGTTTAACAAAGCTGACTCACTCGAAGAAAAGAGATATATAGTCATAAATGGTTTCTATAAAATATCAAAATATTTTATTACAGTCGAAATCTTTGAACAGCAAGACGAAGTATATCATACACAAATAATACTTTCGAAGTACTTAATTTTATGAACTAGAAAAAGAGTCCAAGGAGAGAAATGATAGTTTCATTCGATTCTTATTTATTCATCGCAGCATCGGTTTAACTGAAAGTATTAAAGGTTCAAACGAGTCCATGAAGACTAGACCCAAGCTGCTTATCACAGACTATCAACCTCTTTAGTTTGCCAATGCTTGCTATCCATTTTCGTCGGCCTGATCGACCTGTCATGAGTTTGCGTGGTCTTTACATATTAGTACTATGATGATATTTGAATCGAAGTAGAACAAACTAGGTCAGTAGTGTAACTCCGAATTACATTAGGAAATGGCAGGAACTTGAAATCAGAAATACAATACACGGATCCGTTATCCAGGTTCTCTCAGTTCCGATTGAAACTGCCCGTAATTAGTCATTGTCAATCATCGAATGCCATGATCATATTACTGCTTCCAAGTTCATGCCTTTTCTTGGAGTTTTCAAACCGGGAGCCTACGCAACAAAGGGTCATAATCATTGGCTGAGAGTGCTTTTATAAGAAAGTCATGTAAACCAACATAAAATCAGTACACGATACATTGATTGTTTCAATACAGGACGTATTTTTTAACCATGGGCAAAGAAAGAAAACATTAACATTTACAAAAAATATGACAGACATGCTGTCGATCTAATTTGAGCGGCCTGTCTGGCCTGTGTTAGGCTCGAAAAATCAGAACCCGTGCTTATCTGAAGTGAGCAGTCCCGATGACTTGCTGCAGGAGTTGAATAGTGTATTAAAGTGCCCTACATCTTTTTCAGTACATCATTCTTACTCTGTTATTGTGCCTCTCATTCACTGCAAAATGAGTCATATTAGCTATATATGTACAATTGCTGGAGATCTTAGCGTATGATGATATGATTCTATAATTTTACTGGCAAAAACATTGCTACGTATTGTTCTTAGAGTGATGACTTTCAAAATCATCGTGGAATGTTACTCAATGAATTAGATGGGCTTACAGTAGACCGGAATGATATTCAAGTTAGAATAAATGAGACCACTTGAAGCAATCAGTCTGGCAAACACCTTCTAGCACGTACTGATGAATGACAACGAGCAACTATCAAGAAGGTGAAACAAGCTGCTGAAATGACTCGACAATAGATCTTCAAAATCATGAATTCCAAACAAGAAGAAATTACGAGACAGTTCCAAACACTGTCACAAGAATTGAAGGAATTTCGAGATACGAAAGGTGTTTTTGAGCAAGATTTAACTCGATTGAAACAAGAAATTCGTCAACTTAATGAAGAATTAGAACAAGTAACTCAATCACCGGCTATCAAACTCAATATGAAATAGAGTGATCAAAACGTGTGGCAACACATGATATAAAGTGGACCACAAAAGTTTAAGATACTTTATTTTTTTGAATTTTTTTTAAAGGTAAGAAAAAATAAATACCTTTATATATATATATATGTAGGCAGGATTGTGGTCTACATGGTTCAATTATGTTTCATCAAATTGGTCGTTAGCTGAGAATGGACAGCGAAATACAATTTTTTTTCTATAGTCAAAAGTTTAAGACACTTTTAGTATTTTATCGATTTTATCGTTATTGAAAACAGAAAAATATCTTCTAAAATATATCATTAGATGCAGAATTGAACGGGCTACATTTTGGCATAGAAGGCTTTTCTTAATTATTTATTTTAATAATTTTAATTAATTAGTTAATAAATAGAAATTTTCTCGTAGTTCTTGACTTTCAAATATATCATTAGAAAGAGCATTGAAAACTGAACAAAACTGTGTATTTTTTGTTTCACAATAACTAAATATAATAGAATTTTTTGAAACACTTTTTATAAATTTCGTGATAGTCTATTAATAATTAAGCAAATTAAGATTTAAACAAGAACTTCAAAACTCTGAAAAACAGTGCGTTTTGTAGAGCAGAATTTTTCTATCGAATGATATCTTGCAATCTTCTGTACAACGTGTGTCTTTCGTCAGATATGTGACTTTAAACTGTCATTATTAATTTTAATGATGATTTTATCTATTTTTCTGTTTGTTCGGTACTTAAATATCTCTAGAGCCATATATTTGATGAAAGACACACGTTGTACAGAAGATTGCAAGATATCATTCGATAGAAAAATTCTGCTCTACAAAACGCACTGTTTTTCAG